GGCTAATTAAAAAGAAATGGAAACAGAATAAAACAAACACAAGCCAGAGGTTGCTGCTGCTGCTAGTGCTGCTTCTCTTCTGTTTTTTTTTTTATTTGTTTTTCCAAATCAGAGCAAAAAAAAAAAAAAGTCTTATTCTTCTTATTCTATAACCTTCATCTACATGTTATTATGGAAAATTGAAGCAATCACCAGAAATGAAATATATGAAATGTTTATAATTGAATTAGGATGTCACCTTTGGATAATAATAGCATATGACTGTCAATTAGCCCACAATTCCAAGACCTCAATCCCCAGTTTACTGAAAAAGCAGGCATGGCTCCAATGGGACACAGCAGATTCAGAGGTGGGAAAGTCATGTGTAATTGAAAAACGAGTAGTCAACATGCTAATATATTCTGTGATCTAGACTATATTGATCCACTGTTGAATAATTGGTAGTGAATGCTGTTTTACTCTATTTCTGACTAAAATAAGGCAAAGCACGAGGATTAAAACTGCTTTGAGTTGTATTTACAGGAGTGTAGGCTTTGTTTGATCATTAGTTGAGTTTCTCCTTCACAAAGCCCAGCAGCTCTACTTGTCTAATGCAAATCCAGACTTCAGTTATGAAAAATTGCTACAGATATAGGCCTTCTGGGCTGGGCTGCTTGTAAATCATCAAAACTGTGAATATTAAATATGTAACTCTAAGGGGCTGCACCATAAAAAGTTGGGTAAGTCAGAATTAAGCATTTTATTTTATTACTTACTACATGAACCAGTGTTAAACAGAGTGAATGTAGTATAAGAGAAATTGGTGGATAACTAAATAATAGAGTCAATTTAGATTTTTCCACAGAGTGGTATACTTGTTCCAATTGCTGAATGGTCATTAACCCATTGTCATCACCCCACATCCATAATCTATGTTAGGGTTCACACTTGGCTGTTGTACAGTCTGTGGGTTTTGACAACTGTATAGTGTCATGGATCTATACAGAAGTGTGTAGAGTAGTCTCACTAGCCTAAATTATTCCCCTTATTCTTTTATCCTTATCCACAACTGCCAACCAAATACTAATTGCTTTACTGTTTCCATTGTTAGGCATTTTCCAAAAAGTTGCATAATTGGAATCATATAATATATAGCATTTTCAGATTGGGTTCTTTCATTTAGTAATATCTATTTAAGGTCCCTTCATGTCTTTCTGTGGCTCAGTAGCTCAATTCTTTTTAGGATTGTATAATATTTATATATTTTATATAAATATATAATTTAATATATCTGTATATAACACAGTTTATGGATTCATCTACTAAAGGGCATATTTGTTGCTTTAAGTTTGATCAATTTTAAGACTACAGCTATTGCAAACATCCATATGGAGGTTTTTCTGAAGACATAGTTTTTCACTCATTTCAGTAAAGGGCAAGAAGCTCACATGCTGGAATCATTTAGAAAGAGTGAGTCTATGTTTGTAAGAAGCTGCCAAATTGTCTTCCTAAGTGGCTGTAACCAGCAACGTATGGCAGATCCATTGTTGATGATGTTGTATATTTCATCTTATTAGCAACCATAATTGAAGATTTTCAGACAGAAAATGGTATCAATCACGGGAATGATTTTTACATATTTAGCAAAATAATTCACACCACTTTGAAAAAAACACATTTATATTAATAATATTGTAGATAAGAAGCCAACAAGTGTTATTTACAATAGTAAAAAGCAGATTAAACATGTTTGAAGTTTTCTTAATATAATTACCAAGTAAGATGTTGACAGTAACAATATTTATTACTGTATGACTCCCTTATACTGGGCCTTATCAAAGCACTCACAGTCAACAGACATGGATAGAGGTTTATCACTGTTGGGTTAACTCTTCTTTTGATAATTTCACAGTGTAATTCCCTCAGAGTTTAGGTAAGAGTGACTTCTACGGCATCACCAACACCTCCTCATCAACAGCACTGCATTAAGACTAGAGATCAGCCAGTTGCTATATTGTATGATTTTCTTCAACTTAGCTTGTTTTGTTATATTTAGGAATAGGGTGACTCATCAAGACTGATTTTTCATTCTCTCGTGATTAACAAAGGAAAAGCTATTTTATAGACAATACTAATCTTCAAAATTTAAACCAGGTAATGAATGACCTAAACTGTCTTGTCAACACAGAGTGCTTTCAGGGATGTAACAGAGAATAAAAATATCTTTTTAAATTTTTTTGTTTTTTGAATCACTTTGGATTAAATTAAGGATGGACCTATACACTTACTAGTGAATTATAGTATATTAAGGATATTAAATATTATCTTCACACAATCTAAGTACTTAATTAAGTGTTTAGGCTCTTTAATCCTACTGAAATATTGGAGTTTTATTATGCTTCCTGTCTTTACATCGGTCTCTACAGAGGAGCTAGCAAGCAGTAGATTAATGTATCAGTGAAGGGCCAACCAGCCCCAGCCATCATTTAAAAGAGCTGTAAAGAGAAATCCCATGGTTTGAGGATTCCAGAAAAATGATGAATGATGGCAGGTTTGCCACATTAGCAATAGAATGTGGAAGACTCACAGTGGTATCCAGAAGCTGCTGGAGGCAACAGGGACATGGTAGAGACGGTGCAGCTCCTTCTCAGTTCTTGCTTTCAGCCTTGCCCAGGTGATTGGCTGAATCCAGGAGAAGTCCAGAATTAGGGTCAAGGACACAGAGCATCTCTATGAACCACAGAGGCAAGTATGAAAATGGAGCACAAACAGTCCAAAGGCCAGCTCTACTTGGAAATGCTGTAGATTTCATGCTGTCAAAACACTCACCAGGGCTGTGCAACACTAATTGGTCTGAGTTCTTTCTTTCAACTCTTTATTCATTTGGATCAGTAAAACAAATGATTCTGATGCAGATAAAACTGTCCTTATGCGAGCATTTACTTTGGGATTTATATTTTGACATTTTTAAGTTAAAATTCATGAAGCTCATTTCTCTCTCCATACTATATTTAGTTAATTGTGGGATTTTTTGCAGGCTTTTCAGCATTTTGGTAATATTAAAAAAGGAAAACTTTAAAATGTTGTCTAAATAGGTATTCCATAATAATTTGATTATTAAAGTGATACAAGGTACTTTTCAGTAATTTATTCCATAAGTGCAAAACTGTCACTAAATGGGAAGCATAATATATGCTTCAATGCAACTGATATGCCAATTTCCTTTAAGAGGTAGCTTGACTCAGGCCTCCTGCTTTATTTTGCATTTCCATAGATGGAGCACAGACCTAAATGTTTCCTGCCTCCATCTGTTCAGTGGGTATTATCATCTGACACATAGAAATAAGGTTTTAAAAAATTTAACTAGTTGGTCTTTCCAGACTTTAAATGTTTGATCTTTAAATTTAGTTTTTATTCCAACAAACTGCTCTTTCATGATCATAACACATTTTGGTACTATTGCAAATTAGGAAAAAAAAATGATTCTCTAAATGTTCGCAAATCATTTCATTGTTGAATATAATTCAAGGTTTCTTACACTCAATCTGGACTATTATTTACAGGTATTCCTGATTTATTGATTTAGTATATTTAGGTATAACACCATATACTTTGAATATAACAGTTGGCTTTAGGAACATAAATAAATCAAGATACATTTGTGACTCACAAAAAACCTTTCAAGTTGAAATATATATTATAATCCAGGCTCCCTTATTCTATATACAACTGTGATGAAAGGGTCTAACAGAAATATCCTGGGAATAAAGGGAATTGAGATATTTTTAGCCCAAACAAGTGTCTCATCCCAGCGATATCAGAATAGGATACAGCTTTTTATAATCTGAAATTTAATGAGGTTCATCAAAATTTGTAAAAAGTTTAACAGTTTTAATATGAAGGGGCTGCTTAACATAGTTTCTAGCAAAAGAGAGAATTCTAAAATGAAATTCAGTGTGCCCACAATGTTGTAAAATGAAAATTTTACAATGGGGTGGGCATTTGGTGTAGCAGTTAAGATACTGCCTGGGATGCCACAGCTCTAGCTCCATTTCCACTTCTGATTCCACTCTGCAACCCTCCCCCCACCCCCCAACCTCCGTGAGGAGGACCTGGATTGAGTTTCAGGCTGCTGGCTTCAGTTTGATCCAGCTCTGGATGCTGTGTGCTTTTAGGGAGTGAACCGCCAGATCTCTCTCTCTCTCTTATTTCAAATAAATGGAAATTGATGAATGAAATATTGCAAAAATAAGAAGCCTATGTTGACCAACAGAATGTCTTTGTGCAGACTGGCATAGGGTTACACATTTAGTTTATCAGCAGTCACCAGCAAGATGTTATATAATCTTCCCTTGCTTAAACCAGCTGATGTATTAGTCTGCTTATGCTATAGAAACAAAATATGATAAACATAGACAGTAGAAATTTGTCACAATTCTGGAGTATAGGAGTCAAGATCTAGGTGCCAGCCAGTAGATTCCGTTCTAAAGCCTCTTTTCTTGGCTCATAGATGATTTATAACACCTTCTTGTGAGTGTAGCACACACAAAGACACAGAGTAAGAATAAGCTGTCTGGTGGATCTTTTTAATATTTTATTTATTTATTTGAGAGGTAAAGTTACAGAGAGAAGGAGAGGCAGATAGAAAGATCTTCCATCTTCTGTTTCACTCCCCAAATGGTCAGAATGGCCTGAGCTGGGCCTATCTAAAGCCCGGAGCTAGGAGCCTCCTCTGGGTCTCCCACGTGGGTTCAGGGGCCCAAGTACTTGGTCCATCTTCCACTGCTTTCCCAGGCCATAGCAGAGTGCTGGATTGGAAGAGTTATCAAAAGTCTCAAGAAAAAAGTCATGATCATTTCTTGTGCAGTGCATAAGATGGTCCTAGTGTCTACCTTCTTTGACCACGTATTTGTGCCAATACATGGATAGAGTGTTTTATCTAAACTCTTGATCTGCACAATGATTCCTAATTTTATTTTAAATTCATATATTAGATAAATAGACCTTGCACTTCATATATATATATATATATATATATATATATATATCTTGTTTATTTGGATAATGAATGTTCTTCCCCCTAAATATGAATGACCCCTGGGTATACTCTTTTTTTTTTTTTTTTTTGACAGCCAGAGTGGACAGTGAGAGAGAGAGAGAGACAGAGAGAAAGGTCTTCCTTTTGCCGTTGGTTCACCCTCCAATGGCCGCCACGGCTGGCGCGCTGTGGCCGGCACACCGCACTGATCCGATGGCAGGAGCCAGGTACTTATCCTGGTCTCCCATGGGGTGCAGGGCCCAAGCACTTGGGCCATCCTCCACTGCACTCCCGGGCCATAGCAGAGAGCTGGCCTGGAAGAGGGGCAACCGGGACAGAATCTGGTGCCCCGACCGGGACTAGAACCCGGTGTGCCGGCGCTGCAAGGTGGAGGATTAGCCTAGTGAGCCAAGGTGCCGGCAACCCTGGGTATACTCTTAAAAATCAGGGGTTGAATAACAAAGCTAAGGAACATAACAATTAGCATAGAGATCACATTATGAGAAGTGCTGCTTGTTCTCATTACTTCTTTTCCAAGATGTAACTTTGTATAATTCAAGGGGTTCATTTACAAAATCATCCTCCAAAAATCTCAGTGACTGAGCAAAGCAAAGATTTGTTTCTTTCCTTCAATCCCAGTCTAATTTTACTTAGCTAGGAGGAAGAGCTCTGCTCCAGTATGTCACTCAGAGACCCAGGCTCATTCATCCAATGGCCATCTTCTTGCATTTCAGGTTCTTTGCTGGATATTCTGCATCTGCTAAAATAAAGAGGATAATTATGCAGAAAGCACCTTATTGTCAGATATGGACATGGAAAACATTATTTTTACCCATATTCCCTTGGCTAGAATTCAGTCACATGGTACCATAGCTGTAAGATGGAACTTAAATGTGTGTATAGATAGCAAAGGTATTAGGGAATGGTGAACTCATATCACGTCCTTGCATAGCTTTTATCTCTTCATCTCGCTCCACAGAATCTTCTCCCTCTAAAGGAAAAGCCATTGGAAAAGTAGAGTTGAAACGAAAGATACTCCAAAATATGCTTATAAGTTTTAACAAATATTTTATTATTTCTGAAAAGGTGATTAACTATAATCTGGACAGAGTAATTTTTGTGTGCACAGTCAGTTTCTCATGGTTTTGGACTTCTCTGTGAATACACCATATGTTCCAAAAATAATTAGCCTGTGTTTAATATGAATCCAGAGAATTGTAGTCAATAAACTAAGTTCTTGAATAGCATTACCATAAGAATATTTCTTAGTATTTGAGAGCTCTGCTTGTAGTTTTGTGGTGGTGTGTTTGTCACAATAAACATTTCTCATAAATCTGGGTTTTGATAGACACACTTACACACTTGTTTCAAAAAATAACTCAATGGCCTGTCGAGAGAAAGCTTTAATGTTACTCAGTTTGAATAACATGTGAGGGAAGAAAATTTCAGACAAATTCTTCAGAGTACAAGTACGCTGTACCCATAGCTAATATATGAGTATAATGCCTTTCACTTTGTATCAGAGGGAAGAAATAGCCTCTTTGCATATTATATTTAGTTAATGCTAGAACAATACACTCTGAGACAGTGACCACTAACTATATGTGCCTATTTAAATTTAAATTAATAAAATTACAAAGTGAGTTTTTTCCTTTGGCCACATGTCAAGTGTAGGTGTGGCTGCCATATTGCACAGGGAAGACATAGACCATTCCTATCAACACTGCAGTAGTCTCCAGATAGTTTTCCAACCCATAACCATGTACGAGGAAGAAACAGAGACAAAGAGCTCTGATCAGGATGGGTGTTCAGGGCAGGCAATGTGTACATGCTTGCCTGTTCCTCTTACCTATTTGCTTTCTTTTTTTTTTTTTTATTCATCAACAAATCTGGTTCTGTTCAATTCAGTACATTAAAAAAGAAATCAAGCTTAAAAATTGAGTGTCTGCTTTGATGACTAGAGCACAGTGGCTGGCTCATTGGGGACTTCTATTTATTGCTCGCACTAGCATCAAGGCTATTAAAACTATTCAAAAGAAAGCCTCTCTGTTTGGTGTGAATATGTATAATAAATTAATACATTGCAATCAAATCTATAATATTTAAATAGCAAAATATGTCTATACTCTCCATATAAAAACCAATTAAATAGACTACTGAAGTCAGCTTCTCTCTCTCCTTTCCATCTACCCTCACACATCCTTATTTATTATTATTATTTTTTTTGGTTCCTGGAACATTCCGATTTTTTTTTACAAGCTAACAAGTTTGATGTGGCTCTGTGTCTTATTCCCTTCCAGGCTTGCAGCTGTTTTGGCAACAGAAGAAAAAATCCCCATAACAAATCAAATAAAAGCCCTTTCTGTGAAGAAGAATTGAAAACAGCAGGCCTCAAAGAGGACTGCACATGAGTTGCCTTGTTCTGGCTTTCAACACAACTCAAATCAGAAACACATTACCATAATCTGAAACAGCCCACTGCTAACACAAGACAGATGGTGGGTAATAACCCATGCATCATTAATAAATAAATTCCAGCATTAAAGGCTTTACAAAGTATGACAACATTATCTGGGCACAATTACTGCCCCTCTCCCACCCCCTACATCATTTCAGTGTGTTATGGGCTATGCTAGGTTTATTTTTATTTTTTTTCCCTCCAACGCCATGGATCTGAAGGAAGTTTAAATACGACACAAGTTTTAACCAGATGAAACCTATCTCAGTGTACAAGACAGGTCTGAAACTCCATAAGGGAAAAATAAAATAGCTGCCAAAGTGTAATAGCTCACATGTTCTGCCTTGGATCGGCCCACAGCAATTTACTGCGCCGCCCTCTGTGGGCTGGCCTCACTCTTTCTGGTACGCCTCTATGCCTGTATCACACTACACACTCCAAGCAAGAATCTTGGCCTCAGATTTGCCACAAAGCTGAAAGATACATGTGCAATTTCTCAGCTTTCCTTTTGCAAACGATACCATCTGTCTCTTTTTCCCTAGCTCCCCCCACCAAGTGGGAAGAAAAAAGCAAGCTCTGATTAGATTGAAGAGGGAGTGAGAGAAAGAATTTAACTCTATAAATATTTGAAACTTGAAAAAAAAAATCAAATGCACAGAGACACCAATTACTTTGATTTGTTTGTCCAAAGGGATGTTTTGTTTGTTCAAGGAACTAATGGTGATCCTCCAGGCTGTGAGGCGTTTAGGAAGATAGGAATGAAGCAGAGCACTGTGCAGCATTCTGGGGATGTTCTCCAGGGTTCTGCAGAGCAGTGCTGTGTTCCTTGGAAGCCGAGGTGGTCACTTATTCTGCACATAACTGTAAGGCAAAAATTAAGCACGGTACTGGGCATAGGTCTAGAGAAATACAAGGTTTAACACAGCAAATATCTAATTTTCTTTCTTTTATATCTAAGAACTACATAGGAGAATGCTTCAAAAGTTTGTGAAAAAGTGGATTAAGAGATACGTTTATTTTAGTGCAAAAAGTTCTGAAATCCATGCATACAACGGGTCTTCGAAAAGTTCATGGAAAGCACATATTATGAAAAAAAACTATCCATGAATTTCAAACATTTTTTGCACCCAAACTTATCATTTTATTCCATTTTCCATGAACATTTTGAAGTACCCTTGTTATTTCTTCTCAAAAATCGGCTATATACAAGCATTTTGGTTGAACATACCAGTAGGAAGTTTTTAATGAAAGAGGTAAACTATGTTACATTAACTCATTTGAGAGGTAAAGAACAAGGCACAAAGAAAATAATACATTGTAAATTGGTGAAGCCTACTTTACTAGGAGGTCAAGTGAAAATATCTCTAAGGCATCATCCAGTGGTCCAGGTGGTGAGTCACATGGATGTGACTTACTGTGGAAACAGAGTGGCTTCTCCTGGTCCAGGATCTTTGGTGGAAAAGCACAGGAAGAGAAGGAAGAGATCTCTGGAACAGTTGCCGCATTCCCTTTGGCTCACAGAGAGCTTTCTTGCCACTTAGTCTCACGTGAAGGCTGATCTGCAAGACTTTCCTGATTAGCATTTAATCTTTGCCTCCCTGTCCTTTTCTTTCCCGAACTTGAATCAATATTTTTATGGGTACATGTGTATCTACTTTCTCTTAATTGACTGTGTGTTTATCTTATTTCCTCCATTAAATTGTGAGATTCCTGAGGGTAAAAACCGTGTCTAATCTATACTCTAAATTCCCCTTAGCACCCGGCACAGAACACTGCCCTTTGGCTAAATGAAATCACAACTCAGAGTGAGACGCCAGGGCCTCTGGCAGTGCAGACTTGGATGGAGTCTATGAGTTCCAGGTGAGTCTGATCCAAGGCGGCTTTTCTTTGAGCTCTCTCCAGCTTTTTCTGGGAACAGCTGCTGAGGGATGGTCAGAAGGAGGTGAGTTAAGCTTTAATTGGTTCCTGAGGTCTGCAATTTCCTTTGTGATCTGAACATGATGGAGGGAATTTGAAATGGACTCTGATATTGAATCAGTAAACAGAGAATGGAGCAAAAAATTAGATTGATCAAGAGACTTTCTAAAAACAGCACACTCTATAAAAGTAAGGATTATTTCTCAGAAAAATCTTAGTGTGTTTCCAACTTTGGAATTTTTGATATCACATCTGATAGTTTCTCTAGTTTCTCAGTTTCTCTGATAGTTTTCCTAAGCAAAACAGTTTAGTAGGCTATGATTTCTACTTTTTTCTTCTTCTTTTCTTCCTTTCCTCCTTCCCCTCCCCCTCCCCCACCAGCCTCTTCCCCTCCTCCTCCTCCTCCCCACCCCTCCCACCTCCTCCTCCTCTTCCTCCCACTCTTCCTCCTTCTTCTTCATCCAGGTACGTTTCTAATTGCTGATTTTAAAGTACAGGCTGTTCAGATTCGTTGCACATTTCTTACATGGATTGCATATTTTTCTGTTGTTTGATTTCCTTATAAATTCTGAATATAACTGCTTTATCAGATAAATAGTTTGCAAATATGTTCTTACATATCAATGTTCACTCAATTTTTGTTCCTTTGCTGTGCTTCTTAGTTTGATAGAATCCCATTTGTCTAGTTTTTATTTTGTTGCCTGTAATTTTAGGTTATTACCCAAAATTATTGCCTAGGCCTTGCTTGAAGTGTTTCTCTATGCTTTCTTCCAGTAATTTCAGGTATTGCATTTAGAGTTTTTTTTTTCTTAAAGAATTTTTTATTTATATAAAGTGAACATATTTCATATCTACAGATTTAAGATCATAGTGACACTTCCCACCCTACCCTCCCTCCCACCAATGATGCCACCCTTCTTCCTCATTCCTTTGTTATTTTTTCTTTTAATTATTTTAAAAGATTTTATTTATTTAGTTGAGGGGTAGAGTTAGACTGAGAGAGACAGAAAAATCTTCCATAAAGAGGAAGAATTACATTTTTGGCTAGTCAATAAAGTAATGATGTTCTAGACATAATGGTTCCTTCAAGATTTCGCTTTAAAAGAAAATTGAAACTTAAAATACTTCATACTGAGATATTCCCCTGTCAGAATATATTTGTCAGAGTGTATTTGTCATCTTGAAGGTTAGTTAGGTTTTTGGAGAGCAACAGTCCTACTATAACTCCTTGCCAGTCTTGAAAGGATAAAGTGGTAAATGTTGAGAGTAAACATTCATGCCTCTTTTTAGTTAGTTACTCATACGCTTATCTTTTTCTAGCTTTACCAACTACCCTAGGGAAAATACATTGCTAATTCAGATACTGCTTTGGTCACAAATCAAATGAGTGTGCTCAATTGTCAATGAACCTAATTCTAGGTTCCATTTTTGTCTGATAGGTCCAAATAATAAGCAAAACCCTTTGATCAAGCTCCCGAGTTCTTTATTTTTCCAGTGCTTTGATAGTGTTCATAGTTGGTACCAGCACTTTCTCTGAGACCTGATCTGTCTCTCAGAATTTAGATGAGTGGAGAGGAAAGTATGGTGGTCTACAAGGAAGAAAACGAAGCCACAATTGGGTGTTAAGTTCCAAGTCTTGTTATAAACTATCTTTTACCAATGTATGTCTTTTATATAAGAAAATTTGAGTTCTGGTCTAGCTGTGAATGAAGTGGTGTTTTAATTCTCATTCTGGTAAAGTGTCTGTGTAGAACCCTCTCAGGAACCTTATAAGTGCTGGAACCTCACCATAATTCCTAACAATGTTTGTAATACAGTTTCCTTAAGGTTGGCCTTCTCAGGAGTGATGGAAATAAGGCTGCCAGTTGAAGACAATAAGAAATGGGAGAGAGAGAGAGAGAGAAGGAGAGAGAGAGAGAGAAGTGAAATTATGTTCATATTAGAAAACTTTACCATTCATGTGATAACTTGTTGATTTCTGTGTAAGGAAATTTGGCCAGAATTTCTCAACGTTTCATTTTGCATGGTTTTGTGCTTTCTTACATTTCTTTTGAAGCTTCCTGGGCTTGAAAATTGGGAACTCAAATGAAGAAAAATCTGTTTCTGTGAATTTCCCCATACTAGCCAAGATCCTCTTACATCATCCCTATTTGATCGTGGCTCCAAGGAATGATAGATGGCATCTCTTTCCATCCCTGACATCCCTGTGATGTGGCTTGGGAAGTGAGAATATTATGGACAAAACTCTACAAATTTCTAGTATCATTTGTTTCAAAATAAAGGCAACATGGACTTATTGTAATCATTAAGTGAGTCATTTTGTTTCTTAAGTTAAACTTCTTTGCAATTTTATTTGTTGTAGTAAAAATAAGGAAAATACACTTACAGATTATAGGCTACCAATAGGATGGTATTAAAAATAATTATGATTCTGGCATTGTGGCATAGCAGGTAACTTTGCTGCCTACAATGCTGGCACCTCACATGGGCACCATTCATGTCCTAGCTGCTCCACTTCCAATTCAGCTCCCTGCTACATCTTTGGCCTGGGAAAACCAGCCAAAGATGACGCAAGTGCTTGTGCCCCTGCCACCCACGTGAAATACCTGGTTGAAGCTCCTGGCTCCTGGTTTAGAACTGGCCCAGCCCTGGCCATGGCAGCCATCTAAGAAATGAACCAGCAGATGGAAAAATCAATCTCTCTCTGAATATCAAATAAATAAATATTTTAAAAAAAATGTATTAGCCTGGGGCTTCGCATTGTGGTGCAACAGGTTAAGCCTCTGCCTCTGATGCCAGCATCTCATATGGGTGCCATTTCAAATGCTCCACTTCTGATCCAGCTCCCTGCTAATGTGCTTGAGAAAGCAACAGAAGATGGCTCAGATACTTCAGTCCCTGCCACTCATATAAGATACCAGGATGGGGTTTCTAGCTCATGACTTCAGCTTGACCCAGTCTGGGCTGTTATGGCCATTTGGGGAGTCAACAAGAGGATGGGAGATCTCTCTGTCCCTCTCTTCCTGTATCCCTCTCACCGCTTCCCTCACTCCCTCTCTTTCTGTAACTCTTTCAAATAAATAAATAAATATTTACAAAATTATTAGCAGTAAGAGGAAATTGGTGATAGTATGTCTTGGCTTTGTCTCTTTATTTTTCACCTGCCTTACTGTCATGTCAAAATTGGAAGATAGTTGTTCATCCCCAAAACTAGTTAAATGCAAACAAATAGCTTGATCCTAGATACTTTGAGGTCAGCACATATAAACACATAGATTTTAGGTTTAGGTAAAAGTGTGGAAGAGAAATAAAAGTTACACTAGTAAACTACACTATGGAATTTGGTGTCAAAATATATTTAGTTACACACAGTGTAGATAAGTGAGATTAAATAAAGGAAGAAAGAGAATAAAATTCAACACACAGATTTTATGGAGAAGTGAACTATTATTTTCTTTTAGAAATGGACAGTTATTTAGGCTCAAGGAAATCCAGTAGTTGTACCTGATTCCCTTTCTAGAGAACTATTCCTTGACAGATTTAACAGGAAAAGGATAGGAGCTGATTATAATTTCAATTCCCACTGCTGTTTTGGAAACTATAATTAGAGAAAAGAAGACCAAAACTAATCTTTCAAGGCTTGTAAAGGACAAAAACATAAAACCTTGGCTACATTGAATCCTCTAGGCAAATGTTTCTATTAGCACCCAGTTAGGCAAGGGGAAGAAAGTTTTTGTTGAGGAAACTATTCATCATTGGTGGCTTTGAGCTCCAAAGGACTCACTATAATCTAACACCAGATATAGGAACGTAGGACCTATGTCACCTACCTTTGTTCTTCATTGGTCACATTCATTTTATTAGTTGGATTAGGTATTTAATAAATATTCAACATCTTTTTAGTGACTGCATGCAAGGATACACACTTGGAAGTTTCCTATATATACACAAATATTCAGGTACCTTAGCTCCATCACTCTGAAATACAACCCATTGTTCAGTTTATAATGGAACTTAATACTTGATGTGATTAAACAGATACCCAGTTTACCATCACTCACCATAGAGCTGAATAAATTAATCTTAAGAAAGGGGTACAGAATTATTTATGTTAAGCTTAGAAAGTTGGTGAAATTTGAATCTGAAGGAAGATTTGACAGGCCACTTTGATAGCACAGAGGAGACCCCTTGTCACTAAACTTGTACAACAGTAGTCCTTTTGGTGCTAGATATCAACAGATACATTTTCAGAAATACAAGGTAGATGTATATACAGCACCCAAGCCATCTTATCATTTGTGTGAATTAAATAATGTAATCAGCATACAGAAAATGATGACTTTTTTTTTAGTTATGCTGTGCAGAATTTATCTTAGTTTTTTTTTTTTTTTTTTTTTGGCTGCAATTCTGCCATTCAGAGACACTCTGATCTGATCACCAAGTCTCAAATGCATTCTATGATCATGTGTATGAACTGAATCTTCCAAAATACAATTGTTGTCAAGAAGTTCTGAGTTCTTTTTGAAGCCTTATTTCAAGCCAGTTATCATTACTATTCTACTTGCTGATTTGAAATGAATATAATTTTCAGTAAGAGGCAAATTTCATGATCTTATAAACAGTGGCAGGTAAAGGACAATGATTAATTTCAGCATTTCAAACATGTTTTTTATTCATTTCAGATGGTCTTTGGAATAACCCTAGTGACTCTGGTTTTTGGTCTGCATATTCTATAAGTAGGAGTTATGAATCTGATCCAAGTTCATGGATATCAGAGCTGTGTAGTCTCAACGGCTTCCATGTTCATGAGAAAAACACTTGATTTAATGTTCTACTGTAACCACATTAAACTTTTGAACTTTTAAGCAAGTTACACCATATCTTCCTTTTGCACTGCCCCTGCAAATTATACGCCTGGTCCTGCTGCCAATATCCCACCTTCTTAACCACAAGTAAATTAGTTATAGGATAATTACAAATTGAAGGAAGAGAGAGGGAGAGAAAGAGAAAGTGAGGAGAAAATCTATGGATGTGTAGATATAATGAAAAAGTAGAAAGAAGCAGATCCAAAGAAGAATCAAGAACCAGAGTATGTATGGTTCCAGGGAGCAAGAGAATACTGGAGAGAAAAGCAACCTTTTACCCCAATGGCTTTTTTTTGACAGGCAGAGTTAGTGAGAGAGAGACGGAGAGAAAGGTCTTCCTTCTGTTGGTTCATCCCCCAAATGGCCGCTATGGCCGGTGCTGCGCTGATCCAAAGTCAGGAGCCAGGTGTTTCCTCCTGGTCTCCCAGTGCAGGGGCCATTCTCCACTGCCTTCCCGGGCCACAGCAGAGAGCTGGACTGGAAGAGGAGCAACCAGGACAGAATCCGGCGCCCCGATCGGGACTAGAACCTGGGGTGCCGGCGCCACAAGCGGAGGATTAGCCTAGTGAGCCGTGGTGCCGGCCTATCCCAATAGCTTTTAAGACTCCAGCTCCAAAGTCCTTTTGGAAATTCTGTAAGAATCTTCCTTGTCCTTTCAAATAATCCTACATTTCCTTTGGACTAGTTTAAATGTGTTCCTGATGCGTCTTGCTTTATTTAGCTTGTTACACAATTGCTTCAAGAAGTATTTCATTTGGTGCTCCCAAAGCCATGCCCTCATTTATTGTCTACATGGAATCCATATCAATCTTTTTCTAGAATTATTTACTTATTTTGAAAGTCAGAGTTACAGGGAAAGGGGACAGGCCCAGAGTTACAAGGAGCTTCGGCCAGGTCTCGCATTTGGCTGGCAGGGGCTGAAACACTTGGGCTACCATCTGCTGCATTTCCAAGACCACTAGCAGGGAGCTGAATCAGAAGTGGAGCAACAGAGACATGAACCAATCCCCATATGAGGATGCCAGCGCTGTATGTGGTGGCTTTACCCGCTATGCCACAACACCGGCCCCCCAGGACTGATCTTCAAAAAGACAGAAGTCTGTTTGAAATCACACAGTAGGATTTCTGTTCCACTTGGAACAAAATTCAAACTCCTCAGCGTGACAAAAAGGTCTCACCTGATACAACTGCCCCTTCCCTCTTCTCTGACCACCTTCTCCATCATAGAACCGCACCATCCCTGCAGGTGTTGCTCGGCTCCTCTACTGGGCTCGATTTCTGCCATGATTCTGCCACTTGCTTTCTCTACAATACCTTCTTTCACTCAAGGTCAGTTCCTTCCTACAGGAAAATCCTAAAAGTAGACTGCTTAATTCAAATATATATGTTTCAGATTTTGATAGACGTCTCTAAGTTCCTTTTCATAAGCTAACAACTTACCAGCAAAATATGGTAGTGTTTGTGTCCCCCAACAATGCTGACACAGGCTGAGGCTGTCAAATATCTTAAACTTTGCTTTGGGTCTACAAATCTTTTTATGCTTCTGGCCGGCATTGTGACATAGTGGGTTAAGCTGCTGCCTTTGATGCTGGCATCCCATATAGGCACTGGTTTGAGCTGTTCCACTTCTGATGCAGCTCCCTGCTGATGTTTGGGTAAGCAGCAGAAGATGGCCCAAGTCCTTGGGCCCCTGTTCCCACATGGGAGAACTGTATGAAGTCCCGGGTTCTTGTCTTCAGCCTGACCCAGCCTTGGCTGTTGTGGCCATTTAGGGAGTGAGCCAGCAGACGGAAGATGTCTCTCCCTCTCTGTCTCTCTTTGTATGTGTAACTTTGAAATAAACAAATCTTACAAAAATATTTTATGCTTCACTATTTTCCATAAGATAAAGCACAATTACCCACTGTATTCCTTTCAATTTCTGAACCATCTGTGTCCTTGCTTCCAGTGCCGTGGAGATTATATTCTTTTTCTAGAACACACTTACATCACTCACTGCCACTTTTCCACTGTCAGCACTTTGCCCAGCTTATATTCATCATTCAATCCTCAGCTCAAGGAAAACCCTTCTCTGAAAACAGGATCTAGGCTGGCAGCCCCTCCCACGTGGGCTCCAGAGCATCTGGTATGTCCTTACCATCAGATACATAACTTTGAATTTTGATTGCATGTTGCATTCCCTCCAGCCCACCATAGCCCATATGCAAATTGAGGGAGAGCATCATGCTGATCTTCATTAAAACTAACTCTGTCAGTACCAAGCATATTTGGGGAATTTGGTCATTGTCCTCCACTGCTACTAAAGAATCCATAGCAAGATGCCACTTTCTCTGCTACTGCAATCTGGAGATGGGTGGGACAATAACAATAGCAGCAGCTTTGACCTGTGTACTGCTTTTCTAGGCCAGGAATCCACCCAAGCACTTTGATGTGGCAGCTCCTCAGGCCTCATGACAATCCTACCAGCGTCACATACAGTTCCACTTTAGAGACGAGAAACAAATGCACATAGCAGCTAATGCAATTTTTCAAATTCTCACTAATGACAAAGAGCTGGCATGAGTCTAGCCAACACAAATGTTTAAGCATTATTCTTCTGCTGTCTTTCACTCATTTGTTGAAAATATGTTCCAGTGATTTCTGGAGATGAGGCTTACTTTTAGGGGCCCAGGTTCCCACAGTGAGGTTAGAAAGCATCAGGGGTGTCTGTTTCCATGAGATGCTCTTGCTATCTACATGTTTTCATCTAAACCTCCTAAATTTTGTGGTCAGAGCTTCCTCATTAGGAAATTATTACCAA